CCCATATCCAGCAGTCACAGTGCGAGGGGCGGGGTACACCCTGGACAGGTCGCAAGTCCATCACATTTATATTAATTCTGTAAATTAAATTAAACTAGAGAAATTGTTCCTGAGAAAATACTAGTGTGAATGCTTCTTGCTGAAAACTTAAGCTGAAAGCTGCTGAAACTGAGCTGAAAATATTTAATAGCAGAAGTGTTAATGCGAGTTCAATTCGAACACCTGGAAGAAGAAAAAAAACTACCTTTGCAGAAAAAGAGTAAAAAGGAGCAAAAATATAGTTGAATAGCAGAAAAAGTTAAAAGCTAAAATAGCTGAATATAGCAGACAAAAATGTAAAAAGCATAAACAGCACTAATTAGCAGAAAGAAGCAGATCTAAAGCTAAAGTAGCATAAAACGATAAAGGTAGCAGCTACACATTCAATATAACACCCAGATAGTGAAAGTGTTGTAAGAAATTGTAAAATTAGCAGAAAAAAGCATAAAAGTACAAAAAAGTGAGAATTTGTATTAAAATAGCTAAAACTGCTAAAATTTTCAGTAAAACAGCTAAACTGTAGCTGGAAATTCTTTAATTATCAAAAGGAGCATACGTTTGCTGAACTTAGAAATAATTTGTGATAGCTTTAAAATGTGTATTTAGCTTAAAAAAGCTAACTTTAGCTAATAACAGCTGAACATTAGCTACATTTGCAGCAAATAGCTGAATATAGCAGGAAACAACTGTAAGAAGCCTAAATAGCCCAAATTAGCAAAAAAAAAAAAGAATAATAGCAGAAAGAAGCTGAATTTTAGCTGAAATAGCAGAAAAAGCTAAAATTATCAAAATAGTAGCTAAAATTTGTACAAGAAAGTGAAAAAGAGCAGAACCAGAGCAAAATACGTTCTATAAAGATTTAGAAACATTTTAAAGCATTTTAAGGATGTTGAAAACAGCTCCATTCATTTTCAATGACATAAAAAGTGGCTATAAAGGTGAAATAGCTGAAAAAGTATAAACAGCTGAAATACCAAAAGTCATTGCTGGATTGTCATAAATGAGCTGAATATTTTGATGAGTGAATTGTTGAAATAGCACAAAAATTGTGGAAGGAGTTAGATGCTGAAAAATGTAAAGAAAAAATGATTTCAGTTGTATGAATGATTGTGAAGCGNTGAAGCGTCACACAATGATTGTGAAGCGTCACACAATGATTGTGAAGCGTCACAATTAAATAAACTGCAGAGTTTGTGTTTGTGATGAAGTGGTCCTACCTTCCTGTAGGAGTCCTCTATCGTCGGGTCGTATTTTTCCACAAAGATTCCCTGAACGAACTGGACAGTCTGGACACAGAGACAGATGGGACAGTTGTGGGACAGTTGTGGGACAGTGGTGGGACAGCGGTGGGACAGCAGTGAGACAGTGGTGGGACAGCAGTGAGACAGTGGTCGGACAGTGGTGTTAATGGAGCTCTGTCCTGCTGCCCACTGGAAGTGTCAGAGTGGAAATAACGCCCTGACTCGTCTCCATTATGAGCCTAAAGCAGGTCTTTGTGTGTCTGCTGACAGCAGAGTGTTTGTGTGTCGGAGCTGAACACGCACAGCGACACCCGTCTGTCTCTGGTCTCTACCATCAAACTGCTGCTACAGAATATTTAACCCTTCAGCTCCTGCAGGACACGGTGCTGGATGTTTAGTTCTTTAATTTTTCTTCTTCTCTAATTATTTAAGTAATTTCCTCATAAAAACACTGAGATCTTCAGTTCCTCAAAACTGTTCTCTTTAAAGTCTGCCTCAGCTGCTGCCTCTGTCTTTGTCTTCTTACGCTACTTTTAGCTTCCAGCTAGTGTTTGCTACCTTAGCTTCTAACTAGACTTTAGGTTTTAATTAGGCTTTTAGTGTTTTAGCTTTTGGTTAGCCTATTGATATTTTAGCTTTTAGCTAGCCTATTGAGACTTTAGAATTTAGTTAGCCTATTGATACTTTAGTTTTAAGTTAGCCTTTTGATACTTTAGCTTTTAGCTAGCCTATTGAGACTTTACCTTTAAGATAGACTTTTTATACTTTAGTTTTAGTTACTCTTTTGATACTTAAGCTTTTAGCTAGCCTATTAATACTTTAGCATTAAGATAGCCTTTTGATACTTTAGCTTTTAGCTAGCCTATTGAGGCTTTAGCTTTAAGTTAGCCTTTTGATATTTTAGCTTTAGTTGGTCTATTGATACTTTAGCTTTTAGCTAGCCTATTGAGACTTTAGCTTTAAATTAGCCTTTTGATACTTTAGCTTTAAGTTAGCCTTTTGATACTTGAGCTTTAGTTGGTCTATTGATACTTTAGCTTTTAGCTAGCCTATTGAGACTTTAGCTTTAAGTTAGCCTTTTGATACTTTAGCTTTAAGTTAGCCTTTTGATACTTGAGCTTTGAGTTAGCATATTGATGCTTTAGCTTTTAGCTAGCCTATTGATGTGTTAGCTTTAAGTTAGCGTATTAATGCTTTAGCTTTAAGTTAGCCTTTTGATACTTAAGCTTTTAGCTAGCCTATTGAGACTTAGCTTTAAATGAGCCTTTTGATACTTGAGCTGTGAATTAGCATATCGATGCTTTACCTTTAAGTTAGCCTTTTGATACTTTAGCTTTAAGTTAGCCTATTGATACTTGAGCTTTGGGTTAGCATATTGATGCTTTAGCTTTTAGCTAGCCTATTGATGTGTTAGCTTTAAGTTAGCGTATTGATGCTTTAGCTTTAAGTTAGCATATTGATGCTTTAGCTTTTATCTAGCCTATTGATGTGTTAGCTTTAAGTTAGCATATTGACGCTTTAGCTTTAAATTAGCATATTAATGTGTTAGCTTTAAATTAGCATATTAATGTGTTAGCTTTAAGTTAGCATATTGATGCTTTAGCTTTTATCTAGCCTATTGATGTGTTAGCTTTAAGTTAGCATATTGATGCTTTAGCTTTCAATTAGCATATTAATGTGTTAGCTTTAAATTAGCACATTAATGTGTTAGCTTTAAATTAGCACATTAATGTGTTAGCTTTAAATTAGCACATTAATGTGTTAGCTTTAAGTTAGCATATTGATGCATAAGCTTTAAGTTAGCATACTGATGCTTTATCTTTAAGCTAGCACATTGATATTTTAGCTTTAAGCTAGCCTTTTAATTCCGTGCTGTGTTGTACTTCAAACCTCCAGCAGGTCTAACTTCATGATTCGGTCAAGAGACATTCAATATCTGTTAAATAAATATTCAAACAGTTTAAAATGACAGATTAAATAAGAAAGCTGTTCTTTAAAGCAGGGTTTGTATTTCCTGTGTCATTTAGAAACCTGTGAGCTCACAGCAATAAAGCAGCACAGCTCTGATGTGTACTTCACTGACATCAAGGAAAACACAGCGCCGCAGACAAACAGCTGAGCAGAGGAAACTTACCAGAGCTGACTTTCCTACGCCTCCTGATCCCAAAACAACCAGTTTGTATTCACGCATCCTGACGGTCTGTCTGCTGGGTGACACACACACACACACACACACACACACACACACACACACACACACA